TTTAGTAAAAACTATAATTTTAAACATAAACTTTAAAAAGTTGCTATTATAACAAGTTTCTATATAAGATTTTAGCATATCGTAAGTTTTATACATTTTAAATTAATTAGATTATTACAAAGGTTCAAGCAAATAATAAAATGTAACTATCTATGTAGTGTAATTTTCCCAGTAATCATATAAATATTTATATTACAATTATCTGTGTACCAAAATTAAATAACTAATTAATTTATCCAAGCGTATTCTTTATTATGCAGGTACATTTATATTCATTTCTGACAGAATGTTTTATGAAGGACTGTGTTTGTATTATTATATGATATTTCTGCTGTTTTGTATCATGTGGAATATTCGCTTTGTGTTCATTAATAATACGAGCTGGCTAATTAATAATGAGAGATCACATTGTCAACTATTGTATACAAAATGTTATGTGGAATACATCACGCAAATTGCAACAATTTTATTGTTTTGGGGGCAAAATATGACAATGATAAAAAAAATTATAACATGTAAATATAAAAAATTTATAACTTATGTCTAAAATTTACAACTATATCTCAAAATTGAGCTTTGTCTAAAATTTAGGTCTATGTCTGAAATTTATTAGATTTATGTCTAAAATGTAGAACTATGTCTAACTTTACAGGCTGTCTGTGATGTCTAAATTTAGAGCTTTGTCTAAAATTTATAACTTTGTCCAAAATTTAGAGCAATGTCTAAAGTTTAGATCTATGTCTAAAATTTAGATCTAGGTCTAAAATTTAGTACTATGTCTAAAATTTAGATCTATGTCTAAAATTTAGATCTAGGTCTAAAATTATGATCTATGTCTATACTTTAGAGCTATGTCTAAAATTTAGAAATATGCGTAAAATTGAAAACTCGGTCTAAAATTTAGAACTATGTATAAAATTTAGTACTATTTTTAATATTCAGGTCTAAAATAGAGCCATGTTTAAAATTCAGATCTATGTCTAAAATTTAGATCTCTGTTTAAAATTAAGTTTTCCGTCTAAAATTTTATCTATATCTAAAATTCGAATATATGTATAAAATTTAGAGCTATGTCTAAAATTTTAGAACTAAGTCTAAAATTTAGTACTGTTTCTAAAATTTACAATTGTGTCTAAAATTTAGATCTGTGTCTAAAATTTAGAGCTATTTTTAAAATTCACAGCTATTTTTAAAATTGAGAGCTTTCTGTAAAATTGAGAACTATGTCTAAAATTTAGAACTATGTCTAAAATTTAGAATAAAGAGTTTAATTTACAATTAGGAATAGAATCATTTACAATAAAATATATAATTTAGACAAAAAATTTATAATTTAAAAAATATACTTTAAGAAGTTGCTATCATTAACAGCAATATGAAGCTTCAAGTATAATATAGTGATTTTTATTTATTTTATAATTATTTTTGTTATATAAAAGTTACAAAATATAAATGCAATAAATATTATAAATAATGTTTTTTATGTTATTTATTCAAGCAGGTTTTATTTTATTTGGAATGAGTTCATTCATTTAAAATATTAATTTTTTAAAGTGAGCTCGGCCATCTTTAGTAAATAACATTTTTAAAAATGATTCTAATTACTGAATTAATAAATTTAATACACAAACTGATCACGTTTGATTTTTTTTCAAATCTCATAAATCTCACATACAATTCTCTTGTTACAACTAACTAAACTATAATTTAATTAAATTCATTTTGTTTATTGTTAGATAAAATCTTTTCTAGCAAATTTCTGTTCATTTTTGTAATTCGTTGTGTAAATTCTGCATCTTTTAGAAATATACTAAATCAAGAAATTTCGTTAAGTCTAATTCTTACAATTTTATTAATATTGTTATTTAGTAAGTGTTTTTATTTCTATCAAAACTTCAAAATTATCTTAACACGTTAATCGTCACGAAATATTTTTACATGGACCGTGGTAACTTCATTAGATAATTTAGTTAAAAATGTATCAAGAAAGTTTTGCTAAAATTCCTGGAATGACACTATTTTTTATGTCAGACATATATGACTCACATGTTCCTATATTAAATCTTTCTCTCCTACCAAAATGCTTTTGTCAGACTTGCATATCGAATGTTACTCATTTAAAACTTCTTAGGCACATATGACTGACATGATAATTGTCTTAGTAAAATTTAGAATTAGATCTAAAATTTAGAGCTATGTTTAAATTCATATCTAAGTCTAAAATTTAGAACTATGTCTAAAATTTAGGGCTACGCCTAAATTCATAGCTGTCTAAACTAGTCATTACACTGACTTACTAAATCGGATTCGGCCAGTGGTGTACATATTCTCTTATTACAACTTGCTAAACTAATTTAATTAACTTCGTATCTTTTCATAGTGAGATAAAATCTTTTCTCGCTACGTCTCTGTTAATTTTCGCGTTATTTCGCGTCCTGTGTAAATTTCTCTGCAGCTTCGGCGCAGTCGCAAAACGCAACGCACGCGGACCCCCGAATACGACGACTTACGGAGTACACGTTCTCTACCAACACATTTGTATATATATATATATATATATATATATATATATATATATATATATACACGATACACCAAGGGTGGGATGTAAAACATTATTTATTGCAATTGTAATTGGAAAATGTTTTTGATGAAATTTTAAATTGATTTCGAGAAATCTACAAAAAAAAACTCAATACTTGTAACAAATGAAATTATTGTTTTTGTATTTTATTTTATATATTCTTTAAGAATAAGTCTGTTTAGGAGGCAATTTTAGATAACCTATAGAATTTTTTGATTGTAATTATTTTTTGTTAATCAAGACTTTAATAATGTCTTTTTACAAAATTGTTAAGTACCAAAAAATGATACAATAATATAATAAATTGAATATAAATCGGAACAGAGTTATAGAAATAATGCAGTGCATAATAAACCTTTCTTGTTGTTCAAAATCTAAAATATTTTGAACTAGGTACACATGGCATTTTGCTCAAACTCATGTTGCAAAATCTTTCCATATGTGATGTGTCAATATAATCCATTTAATGAATAAAAATTGAAATTTAGCTTTTTTTAAACCTGTCAAGATAAATTATAAAATTTAGTAAACTGAATTAGTAAAACATGTCATGTAAAGCTCAGGTTTTTATTACTCTACTCGATTTTTTAATTTTGAATTATCAGGTATTTTGCAACTTTAGAATCCTGATTGAATGTGTTAACTTTCGATGGAACGTGCCAATACACTTTAGTACATATTTACAAAGAAGACCTCTCAAAGTCCATTTTTGACAGTTTTAAATAAATAGTATTCATTCTAGGACCTCAGAACAATAATGTTATTATTTTTGACTGTAGTCCTGCAAATGTTATTTATGGTTGCATATTTTGAGTGAACAAAATTAACAAAAATTAGCACTATAATTAAAAATTGATCATAGTATCATCAAAGCTTTAGGTTGTACCTACTTACAACTCATAACTTTCAAACCGCATGGAATAAATTTTTCTTTTATTATTTTTTATTATGGCTATGATTAATACTATTACTCCAATTTAGCTTAACGTTGAGTTCTGGGACACCTTGTATACATTTACCAATTTTGGTGTCAAATGACACAGAATTGCTTCAAAGGCCAAAAATACGTAAAATTACCAAATCTGATATTTTAATGGAAACATGGACTTTACCTTGGAAAGTTGAAAGTGTATCGAAAATATTTGAAAAATTTAAAAAATAATTAATATTTATATTCATACTTAATTTATTAACCTTGTCTATAAAATTGTATACTATAACAATCCTTATGTACAATTTCGATGTTTTTTACAACGTTTCGGTTTAATGTTGAGTTCTGGACACCCCGTTCTGGTTTGTACCACTAGAAGTATTTCACTAAAATTGAGTTCATTATATTTACAAACTAAGATATACATATATCTAAAAATTTAAATATCGCTTTTCTCATTTTTTTTGTGCGTCTATTTCATGAAATATTATATTTTAATCATAACAATATATTCAAAATATTTAAGAAATTAAAAAGTAACGTTTTATTATAAAATTATCCATAAAGTGTTGGTTGTAATGGTTAGAATATCAAGAAGTAGTTTTAACAAATTCGACTTTTCATAATTTTTTAAAATCATTATATATGGTGTCCAAGAATTCAACGTCAAGGTAAAACGTAGGGATAGTATTCAAAGGTTTTTTACTATTATTTTATAGATAATTTTCTTCAATTTTTATAGCTCCATTAAAATTAACTATGAACATAACTATTTTTTTTTACTTTTTCAGTGAATATAACTAGTATTTTTTATTCGTTTTTTTTAATATGAATTTAAGTATTCGACCATTTACTTACCAAACAAATTTTAATACATTTTCTTGAAAAGGGCCGTAGTTTAAAAATATTAATTCTTGGAAAAACCATGGGGCAATTGTGTAATATTTTTGACCATGTCTTATAAACGATATTTATAAATACGGATCTAATGTTTAAATGAAAAAATATATTAAAAATATACGGGTGTGTATACCCGTATGTGTATTTATATATTTTTGTATAAATTATAAGATTACATGATTATGTTACATTGCATTACTATATAATTAACTCTATATAGCCGATGGTGTCTAATAAATAATAAATAATTTGGCCAAAGCTCTAAGTTTAACTTAGAAGCTCATAATTTCCAAACAACGGGAGAATAAAAAAAAATAAAATTTTTAGGACACCTACGGTCAATTCTCTACGTTTTGGTATGTCGTTGAATTCTTGGACACCCTGGGACACCTCATCCAAAACAGTTGTAACAAATTTGTTAAAAAGTCTTAGAAGAACTTTGATAAATCTCAAAATATAATTTTTACCTAAAGATCTCACTTTTCCCTTATCTCGATCACCGTTTCCCGCGCCTGCTTCGCATTTCCCAGCTTATTGAGACCCCGCGCTACCGACTCTACGGGGCTACGAGCGGTGCCAGTCACTCGCCGACCGACTCGTTCACTCGCTTTCTCGTTCGCTCGCTCACTCTCCTGCCTGTCGTTCGGCACACGTTGTTTTGCTTTCCATTTTCCATTTTCCATTTCAGCCCCAAATACACCCCTTGACGTTTACACACGATTGCGGGGAAATTATCAGTCTTCGCTCAACTCGACTCCGAACAACCGACCAACCACCTGATACTCGAAAATCGGAGAAAACATTACGACACGCGACAACTTTTGCTTTCGTTTCTTTGAAAAAAAAATCGTGATTTGATAGAATAAATATGATGTCGACGGTGTGTTTAAATTGTTTGTTGCTGAATTTTATTTTGTACTAAATTTTTGTATCGTTTCTACCTGGTTTTAGTGAGTGCTTATGTTAAAATTTTGTAAGGTAGCTGGTTTTTTAGAAATTTATTGGCGAAAATATGGCAACTTTAAAAACGGATTTCAAAAGATGCAGGCGGAAATTGTACTGCTGGTGCTTTGAGGTAGGCCTAAGAAATTTTAATTTGATTCAGACAATAATGTTTATGTTAATTATTTAAATCGCATATGTGTATATATATATATATATATATACTAGCATGCCCGGACACGCTTTGCTGTGGCTTTGGTATATCCGATTGTCATTTGAACGTACTTGACAATCAACAGTTCAATACTATTAATCAAAGTTTTCTTGAAATTAATCATAAAATGAATAAAAATATTAAATTAATATTTTGAACAAAAAAGCACATAAAAATTTATCATGAATGATCACGTGACCTTTTTACTTATAAATGTGTTATATTTTTTTGGCAATAGTTATGTACAAATGCCTTAAGTGGGTAGACATATTTCTTTGTTCTTCTTTGGAATTATTTTATTTTTTGTTGTTGAAATTTTTATTTTATTTAATTAATAATTAATTTATGATGAGATATTTAGGCATTATTTCATTGGTCATATGGACTGTATTTGCTGTAGCATTTAGTATTTTCTTTGCAAAATGTGCAGGAATATTTGATTCCTGAGACTTCTTGTTTTGTTTTCAAATTTGTGAATGTCAAAAATTTAAACCAAATATAATTTTTTTTTTCCTACTATAAATTGATATTCATACTATCTCTGGTACCATTATGGATAAAATGCTGTAGTTTTAAGATTTATACATATTATGATTGTTTTTCCGACATTGAAACATTTGAAATATTTTGCATCCCATTCTTAGAATTTAAAAAGGTATTTACCTCAATACCAATATTTTATTTAATTATACGTTTTGGCACTTAATTTGTATCATTCAGCAAATCTTAAATACATATTTACCATGAAAACAAATAATCAGATATTAAATATGAAATTCAATTAGTAACTAATGTTTTATTTTTGTTTTTCGTTTTCTCTTGGTTTGGCTTTTATCTTCCTACTTACTGAATTTCCTAATTAATTTTTGTATATTTGTATTTATTATAATAATACATTTTACTTTTGCTGAATGATGACACACATCAGGTGTCGAAACGTGATTTCAAATAAAAAATTGCTATGCTTTTATCTTTTTAAATTCGACTAATTAATTTCTCTCAATTTCTTGGTTTGGCATTTATACACCTAATCGTTATTTTTCCTAATTAATTTTTGAATATTTGTATTCATTAACATATTTTTTTTCAAATTTGCTAAATGATGACACACATCAAGTGTCGAAACGTAGTTTCATATGAAAAGTTGCTATGCTTTTACCTTTTTAAATTTGACTAATTAATTTTATTCTGTCTTGGTTTGGCTATTATACATCTACTCATTAAATTTCTTAATTGATGTTTGAATATTTGTATTTATTACAATAATGAATTTTAGATTTGCCAGATGCTGTCAAAACGAATATAATATATATAAATGAAAAAATAGCTTTTTTAATTCGACTAATAAGCTTCAAATTATTAAAAACTCATATTCAATGATTAACCAGATGTTTTAATTTTTGTTATGAATATATTAGTATGATTTATAAAAAAAGTAGCTCCTACTGAATATACAATAATTTTTTACTGAAAACTCCAATAACAATTATTATGTTCTGTAATATCTAATTATTATTCACATCGATATCTATTTCGGTATGCCTTCGTATAATAAATTTTGCAACCTACAGCCTATAACAACCGAATCAAATATTTATTCCATATTTTCCAATAGCACAAAAAAAGTTCTCTCTGCAAATTCTACCATCAGCACGCTATTCCTCTTAAAATATTTCAAAGCACTTGCATTCATGTATCAATAATTTAAAATCAAATAGGTATTTGAAACCGAACAAACATCATTAATAATGGACGAATAGGCAAATAGCACGAACCAGGGGATTATATAAATATTTGCATGGTGACAGCTATTTTAAAACATAATATAAGCACTTAAATTATTACTGAATGTCTCTCGAACCGGCAACAATAGAGAGGAATGAGATTATTGCATAATAGGGAAGGATTAGAATTTGCATTTGTGGGATGAAAAATTGGTGGGATATTGGATAAATTGAGAAAGGAGCTTTGAGCTTTTATGGAACCAATTTAATTGTACCATGATAGGAAAATTGTTACCTTAATAGTTAATAAGATTATTAGTGCTCTGATCAATAAATTTTTTGTAGTATTTTCAGTATCGTCTTTATAATTTAATATAAATCTGAAACTTCTGAGTTCATGTTTTCATGTTATGTACATTGATTTTTAATACCTTATTTTTCATTTTTTTTATCTAGCTGTAAAGTTGGGAATAATTTTTCATTTTCCAATTATACCTTCAATGGTCTCCTTTAACAACTTGGATTTGATCAAATTTTCTTTTTATTTCTTCATATTGATATATGTATTTCGTGTTAAAACATGCGTTTTAGAATTTCAGCAAACTAAATATTCATTGTTATGCAAATGCTTCTTCAAATAATTTTCTGACAATAATAAAAACATGGTTATTGTGTTTAAATTCTGTGCTTGATTATTGCATAATAATAATAAATTTAAAAAATAAGGGGTTTACGAACAATTTATTTATATAGAAAAATTTATAAACATCAGTAAAAAATTAATATATATATAATATAATTAAACTTAAAGTATTCTTTTATAATTTAGCACATGCCAAGATTTTCTTAACGATTTTTTAAAACTCCATCATTAAAAATTTTTCCTTATCGACTAAATTTCAATATTGCATCTACGAGTAAATTAAAATATTTTGCAGTCGCAAAGACTTTGTTCTATAAAAGTTTCTTTGAAAAAATTTGCAAAGTCATTAAAAGTTTTTTGCCTGTAATTATTACATAATTTAGTTGGCGTAGAAGACTCTTATGAATTTATTATAATGTAAATATAATTGTTGGAAAACTAACCCATTTTTCTAACCTTTTCTTCAGCAAATTTTCATAAAACTTCGAATTTTTATTATACAATAATTTTTAAATGATTATTGCAAAGTAATACCAAAAATATCAATTTTTTTGCCAATTAAATAAATCATTAATTAACTTAAAATTATTAAATAACCATAAATCATAAACCAATGTTGTCAACTTTGAAAAAAATACACAAGTTTTGAGTATGCGTGGAAGGTAGAATTTTTGGAATATTCTAAATATAAATTCTTCGATCATTAAAATGATAAAATCTGTTCTAAAATCTTTATAATTTTGTTAAATTATACATTTATAGATTATTGACTAATTATAAGTTAGAATAGCTCGCTATATATAATAATTATTAATTTTATATAACTAATTAATTCTACTGTAATAATATAGATTTATATATTTGACGATTTGATTAATTTATCATGAAATTTATATATTTAACGACTTGATTTGAATTATCATATAATTTATATATTTAACACTTGATTGATTTATCACAAAAAATGTATATTATTATATTTTTTTATTAGCATGATCTATTTAATTATTAATAATAAAAATTTTATTTCAAAATTAAATGCCATAAAATAATTTCATAAATATTTTTCAATAAACAATTATTATTTTAGGAGTAATAAATTTTATTATAGTATAGCATACATTTAGCTTTTATTAAAAAGTTTTTATTATATACATAACGCATATATTGATACAAATAAATGAATTTTGGCCCTTTCACATTTAGAATCAATAAATAATTATTATTGATATAAATATTATTGCACAATTAAATTCCATAAAATGATTCAATAAATAATTTTATATAAAACGGTCTTTATTTTCATAATATTATTAAATAATATATATTGATGCATATTATAAATAAATTTTCAAACTGTTCACAAAAAGGATGAACTTTTAAACTAAAAAATATTTTCTATTAATTATTATTCTTAACAACCATTTATGTTCTTATAATTTTTGTTTTTGTGATTTTATATTGTATATATGTACATATTTTTACCAGAAAATCCAAGTTGTTAATTTAGTTTTTTATCTAAACATTTTTAAATCATTCTGAATCGTTTGAGACCAAAATTGGAAAAATTATGTGTTAGTTTGTATGTGACTTGATTTTTCATCTTTTTCAAAAAATTGCCTAAAGATAAAATTCCATTTGCACCTAAGTAAGTTTAAGTTTTTTCTTAAATATATGCAAAAATAACAAACATATTATTTTACTCATCTTTCCTATTTAAGCGTATTTAAACGAATATTTATAGAATTTTAATTTTTCGAAGATAAAGTTTTGAATGTTTTCACCAAAAAATGTGACGTGAAAGTTTTATGTTTTCTCGACCTTTTCACAATTGGTTTTATGTATATTAATAAACAATTATTATTGATATAAATTTTATTTTGAAATTAAATTCCGTAAAATGATTCAATAAATAATATTGATTATAAAGGTCTTTATATTGCTGTTAATGCATTATTAAATAATATAATTGATACAATGATACATATGTTATAATATATATTATAAATAATTTGTCAAACTTTTCACAATTGGGGTAAACCAAGAAATATTTTTTATAAATTATTATTTTTTAAGAAATATTTATGTTCTTGTAAGCTTTTTTTGCAATTCTATATAGTATATATGTACATGAAAATACCAGCAAATACAACTTGTTAA